TTTATTGTAAATGTAATTACCTTCCACCAATTAGTTTATAAACTAACTATACATTGTAAACAGAGATATCTAGCAAATTGAAAAGTTTGATTTCTTGTTTGCTAGTTGTTGGATAGTTACAAAGTTGTTGATTTAAGCGATCAACTCCTTCAAGAGTGTCATTATAATCTACAACTACTTTTGTTCTATAATTTTATCTTAATTCGCTTTTAGACATCCCAGTGGAAAACCCCTACAAGAAGATTATTAAAGATAAACAGATCCCTGTATCTACCTAATATTTAAACTGTCCCCAATTTAAGGAGTATCTTCAATTATTCAATTGAAGAATTGTGTCAAAATTTAATGATAACCAGCGAAGCAATTGCTTTGTAATCGTGATAATAAGCAAAATGAACGTTTTGAAGACGCAGAAAAAGTTTTTATTCTAGAAAATCTACAGTTTGATTAGAAGATGTTGTTTAGTACGCAACATACAGCAAACATTTTGTCACGTCAAAAGTAGCATTTAAAGTAAGATAAGCTAAATCTTATAACTACTTGCAATCGATAAATCTTAAAATCTGAACTGAATGAAATTTACATGCTCCGTCTGAAACAGTTTTAGGATTGACCATCTTCTTTTTTATGGCTGATTTTGGCCGCAAAAGGAGTAACTTATATCAAAAGTTTCTTCTTCACTACAGCATAAAATGAGAGAAAATATTACAGATGCAAGGAGAGAACTAAAATATTAGTAAAAATATCATTTTTAACCTGAGTTATTGTTGTTTTTCCAGAAACAGTCAAGATCCGATAAGTTAGACATCGATGGTGAAAATGAAATGAACTACCATAAAATAATAATTATGTTTATTGTCATTAGAGGACGTCTCTTCTTGAAGAATTTGATCAACTAGTAACAAATGTCGCTAACACCTAACAGTGTAAAAATTGATAATTCGTCTTATTACAAATTGATCAATAAACGATTTGACTAAGCCAGGTGAAAAGAGTTAATAAAGATTTTTTTTATATTCACTAAGTTATTTCAAGAAAATCCTTCTAACAGGGATCTTGAAAATCCTGTTCTTCATTCCCTTAATTTTGTGTTAATTAATAATGATAATCCATACGTAAGCGTGATATCAAAAAAACAATAAATCTAATAAATCAGTGCCTCTAATTAGCGTCCAAGGAAAAGATAGAGTTATTTTCAAGGACAAAGTCTGTAATATTAGTAGCCAAATCTTAATTCATTCATTCACCTTATAAGCCAATCTATAAGCCGGATTTGATATCTTTGATTTTAATTAATAGATTTTTAAAAGTTCTTTTTCGTTATAAATAAAATCAACTGTATACAAAATTCTTCATGGTGAGGTTCATCAGGTATGGGTAGTTAATAAAGTACCAATCGACGTAAAATCATCCAAATAAAATATTGAACGGATTGAGTTCTTGATATGATTTTGAAAAACGAACAGGTCCACAGCTCTGGTTATTGGTGCACCAAACACTATACTTAGCACAATCGTGACATGATATCTCCCGCGCCCATAATTATATACAAGCCACCACACCACGGTCCGATCCAGCGGGCTATGGACGTCCAGCCCTCTACGATGTACGTGGACGATCTTTCTTTTTTTCTTTAATCCTTTTTGTTTTACTCTTAACACTGCCGCAGGTCATCTTCCTTTTAATGGGGACTATTCCTTAAAATATTCTCCGAAGTTTCTTTCATATTTTTTTTATTATTCTTATAATGAACAGAATAATAAATTTTATTTAATAAATAAGATTGTTATGATTATGAAACATCAATAAAAATGACATTAATTTAACCTTTTATTTATTTATTTTTTTTTTGAAATGTCCCAAATTGCTTTTTTAATGATAATACTTGTGTTATTCGTGTTGGGTATTCAATTATATACAGAAATTAATTTGATTCGAATGAGGAAAGAATTAAAGAAAATGGAGAAAAGATGTAATTCGGTAACTGAAGGATTCATCAGACGAGAAAAACGAAGAAAAAGACGTCAAATTAATTCAATTTAGAATTAAATTAACTGTTATTTTAATATTAAATAAAAAGAACTAATAATAACTAAACCGTTTTAGTGGCGACATCTATAGAAATAAGTTATTTTTAAACCTACCTTGAGGATAGTTTTGGCGTTTCTCCACGAGATGGTTCATGAGAAAGACGAGAACTGCTTGAAATGTTGATTGTAGGCCTAATTCAATTTTCGAAGATTTTTCTAACTTTCTAAAAAAGAGAAAATGGGAAAATTATAACGAATAAATCAATCAATAAATTTTTATTTTTACATTATACTCTATACATAATAAGAAAAAACATACGCTATCAAATTCAGTTCCTCCAAATCCAAATAGATGCGCAAATATCACCGTCTAAATATCTCCGATACGAAATGCTCCCTCAATTTGATTTCAAATTTAATATCAATTTTTTTTTAATGGGACTAAAACCATCGTAACAAAAAAATGCTTACAAAATCCAAAAAACGCTTCTTCTTATTCTATAATTTCTTTTTGCCAACATGCTTTCTTTGAATTATTATTCTTCTTAAAAGTTCATTTTAATACAAGTTTTATTACTATTAGGTCCGTGTAGTAGCAGGGGAATTCGATTATTTGATTTGATTATTTTTTATTTTTTTCGGTAAATAGCGGTTATCCATCTTTAAGAAAATATTAATAATATTAATAAATAACAAGTTTATAGTTTGAGAGATGAAGGGCAAAAGAAATACAAATACAGTAAAATCTCAATATAACGAAAAACCTTAGAAAGAATTTCAGATATAACTAAATATTTTTAAGTCTGAAGATGAGTGGTTAAATCCGAAACTTTCTAGTTCTAGGTGTAGTGTTAGTTGTGGTTTTAGTTGTTATTCAATGTTAGATTGTTGTATATTTTTATTAAACCAAATATAGAAATAGCACTAGACCAAGAACTAGAAACATTCGGGTTTAGCCATACGTCTCTTAAGACTGCTAAATCCGAATGTTTCTAGTTCTAGGTCTAGTGTTAGTTCTAATGTTAGTGAGAGTTCTTATTTTAGTTGTTATTCAGTGTTCAATTGTTGTATATTTTTCATTGAGCTAAAACTAGAACTAACACTAGACCTAGAACTAGAAACATTCTAGTTTAGCCGTCTTAAGCGACGCATGGCTAAACCTGAATGATTCTAGTTCTAGGTGTAGTGTTACTTTTAGTGCTGGTATAAGCTCTAGTTTTAGTTGGATTGTTGTTCACTTTTATTGAACCAAAAGTAGAATTAGCACAAGATCTAGAACTAGAAACATTCGGGTTTAGCCATACGTCTCTTAAGACGGATAAACCCGAATGTTTCTAGTTCTAGGTCTAGAGTTAGCTCTAATACTAGTGATAGTTCTTGTTTTAGTTGTTATTCAGCATCAAATTGTTGCATATTTTTTATTAAGCTAAAACTAGAACTAACACTAGACCTAGAACTAGAATCATTCTGGTTTAGCCGTCTTAAGAGACGCATGGCTAAACCTGAATGATTCTAGTTCTAGGTCTAGTGCTACTTTTAGTGCTAGTATAACCTCTAGTTTTACTTATTATTAAGCGCTAGATTGTTGATCATTTTTATTGACCCAAAAGTAGAACTAGTACTAGACCAAGAACTAGAAACATTCGGGTTTAGCCAAACGTCTCTTAAGACGGCTAAACCCGAATGTTTCTAGTTCTAGGTCTAGAGCTAGCTGTAATGCCAGTGATAGTTCTTGTTTTAGTTGTTATTGAGCGTTAAATTGTTGTATATTTTTCATTGAGCTAAAACTAGAACTAACACTAGACCTAGAACTAGAATCATTCGGGTTTAGCCATGCGTCTCTTAAGACGGCTAAACCCGAATGTTTCTAGTTCTAGGTCTAGAGTTACCTTTAATGCTAGTGACAGTTCTTATTTTAGTTGTTATTCAGCGTTAAATTGTTTTATATTTTTCATTGAGCTAAAACTAGAACCAACACTAGACCTAAAACTAGAAAGTTTCTAGTTCTAGGTCTAGTGTTAGTTCTAGTTTTATCTGCCATTCAGTGCTAGATTGTTGTATATCTTTATTGAACTAAAAGTAAAACCAACACCAGACCTAGAAGTAGCAAGATTCGGGTTTAGTCGTCTTAAAAGACTTACAAAAGCAAATTAAAAATTGTTCCATACATCAGACACTCTCTTTCCCGTATTAATCAGTTACATCGAAATTTTACTGTACAATAATAAAGAATATGACAAAAAAGACGAAGTTTCGATCGTAAATAAAATAAAAAGTATTGGAAGTACAAAAAGAAATATTTACACGTTTTTAAATCTTTACATTTACATTTAAAATGAGTATCTTCATTAAAAATATTTTAAATAGAAGATAATAACCCATTAATATACTATTTTATACCTTCAATAGATTTTATTTTAAAACTAAATACATCAAAAACTCCCAGGAGAATTAAATAAAAATATTAATGGGTAACTCATAAACAATAAAAAACGTTTCACACCAAAATATAACAATTTAATATATACTTAATTTTTAAAGTTTCCCCATTAAATTTTATATTTTGATGTGTTGTATATTTCTAATTATTTATGAGGCATCCTGCATAAAGTATAAAAAAAGGTAACAGTAACAAGTGATGGAAATGAGTAACTTATACATACAAAAATATTCTTTTTTAATTATTTGTTGAGATTTAAAATATTAATAATTAACGATGCTTATTAAAAAAAATGTACAACTTTACACCAAACTAAACAAAACCTTAATTTAAGACAAAGGTTGGGAAAAGAAGAGGAAGATATAATACTGATAAATAATATCTAAAATTAAAAAGAACTAATAATTAATTTATCAAGTAACAAATAATAATACGATTAGAAATTTATTCACAAAATATGATCGCGCTTAAATGTTTGGTTTTAAATTAAACTCCAAAAATTTAAGATAATCATGTTCTCTTTTTTACTCTTTTTTTTTTAATAAGTTTGAAATAAAGAAAGAACGTCACAGATGTTGCTTTTATAAACTAACAAACTTTGTTTTTAAAAAAATATCAGCGGTAGTACACGATTGGCTTAAACGTATTCTTTCTTAATCCTCTCTTAGTATTTTTCTCGTCTTCTACAAAGATTGCACAGCATTAATTTTTTTTCTTCTGCCAGGCGTTAATTAGTCAATATATATATAATATTTCCGCAACGGCGTTATTTTTATTATTATTATTAAAGTGGTATTGTGCTTCTCTTTTCCATCATCAAAAACAATTTAGTTTTTATTTTTAAAATAAAATTACCAACATGTTAAAAATGATCTCTCGTTTTTTCCGTTTACTTTTAAAAGTCATCTCATAATTGTCCACTAGAAGAACTTGTTGTACTTTCGTCGTCGGAATTCATCTCAAATATCATAGTTTCGCCGGCCAAGTGTTTTGGCATAGGTAGATTTTCGCGATTATTATTCCTACCGATTTCACTTGGCAACGAAGGAATCTGTACATGAACATCGTGTTCTTCATCGATATCTAAATTTTCTTCTTTACACGTCGAATCATCGTGCGATGAGGAATTATCGTCGTCATCGCGTCTTTGCATTGGCGTACTCGTAATTGGCATTCCTAATAAAAAATTATCCTGCTCGCAATCGCCGTTACTTAATCGTCTCTTAATTTTTGTGTTTGATACAATCGCACCGGCCGATGAGCTCAAACTTAACGGATTTGTTTTCATTCTGGCTCGTTTATTTGATGGGGATTTTGTTGGGGTGCTTTTTGGAGGTGTTGTATTTCGAAAACTTCGTCGCACAATTCTCGAAGCGACTACTTCGGGACTTTCATCCATTTCTAAAACGTAACTAACCGAATCTGATTTTTCAACGACCCCTTTCACTTTAGGCGAAGACGGCGGGGAGATATCGTCGAAATCTAAATCGTAGGAATTTTTTGATTTTCGACAATTTATTGTTGTTTCTCGTATCATTGGTTTCGTTTCTCGAAACGATAACGTTCGTTCTAAATGACGCGGGGTCATGTGTCTTTCGTTAAATGATGTGCTTAAAATCGAACGATTAAAACTACCCTCTTCCGCTTGTTCGATTACTTTGGTAACGACCTCTTTGTTTTGTTGGAGTTTCCATTGCAGCTCTTCGTTTCGTTGAATCAAACAACGTTTTTGGTTTAATTCTTCTTTTAAGGATTCTTCGAGCTTTTTCTTTTCTCGTACTAATTGACTAAAACATTAAAGTTTAATTAAATTAAGAATTTACGAGAAATAATATAAAATGTTTTTTTTTTGTACGTTTAAACTGGTCTTTAATTAGATAATAAACTTGAGTTTTACTAATTTCGGCTACAAGCCATCTTCAGAACAATTTAAAAATTTAACGTGATTATAAGAACATTGCTATAAACTTTATATTTTATTTTAATTTGTAACTTTGAAAAATGTAAAATTTCTGTTTTAATCTATTATTGTGTCTAAAAACTAGTCTCTGAAGATGGCTTGTAGCCGAAACTAGTAAGACTTAAGTTTATTATCTAATTAACCTTTGAACGGGCGCGCTGTCATAATATTTATGGCCAAAAATGAAAGACAGTTTCAATGTACTTTAACTAGTTGTAAAATTTTATTTTTCGTCCGACTAGTTTCGCCTTATAGGCATCTTCAGAGACTTCGTTAAAAATGTGAAGTTACATCCATCTTATCAAAAAATAATTATAGGATTGACAGATTATGTTGTAGAACATTTCTTAAGTACCATAAAATTAGTTAAACTTTTTAAAATTAAAGCACGTTACAGTTTATAAAAATGGTTGAACTGTGACCATTTTCTTCACTGGTAATATGGATTTAATCAATTTTAACTCACATAATATTTATGACAACTTTCGTTTTTAGAATATATCTCTTTATATTATGCATTTGAAAGGATTTAACGCTAAAGTATTCATGTAACTAAGTATTTTGAACATGATGAAAAAACAATGTAAAAAAATATATATTGACGTTGTCTTTATGGCAAAAAAGTAATAAAATACAAAAAATTTACAAATTAATTGCCGATTTATAAGGCCGTATTTATATTATGGGGTGTATTAAGGGATATAAATATTTCGGTTGTTTATTCAATCTGCTGGTTATCTTCCAATTGTTGGAGTTTGCGCTGTGGTTGACATGTAGCATAGGGTAAAACGCCAGTAATTGACCGTTTTTGTAAAAAAATGTAAAAAATAAGGATCCAAGGAATATCTAAAAAAATATAAATATATCCATAAACAGCCACCAGTCTCCTCTCCACCCCCTAGTACACAAAAAGTCCACGACCATACCGTTCTTGAGTTTTTATTGTTTAATTTCGCGCTAACTGCCGGCCTATTCACATCGTGTTAAAAAGCGTAATTTTTATGTTTAGAAATTCGCTCAAACAGGGTAGTACTATTCAGCCGTTTTTACATGTATGATGTTTTTTTTTGTTTGTCAGTGATCTAATAATGTTTTCTATTGGTTATATTAAAAAAATACCGCTTTAATTAATTATTTGTTGAAATAAAGCCGGCCAATGACTGGTATTTCTAAATTTTATTAAAAATTAGTGTTTGACCAAACGGTCAAATACTAGACGAATTGCTTGTTTTATAATCTCACAAGGATTTATATTTGATTAATAAAATGGAAAAATATGTAATAAACTTATATCTTCCCGTTTAAGTTGTTTAGTATTTGACCAAAACTTTTATACTTTAAAAGTAAGATACAATCAGGTTAAATATGCGGTCAATTACTGGTTCCTCTTTTGGTCATTTATAGGACACAAACACTCAAAGCTGAGTTTTTTAACCGATTTTAAATTTTATATATATTTAAGCGTAATATAAATATAAATGTTTGATTCTTTTCTATTTTTTTAAACCTTTTTTATAACAATAAAAGTAATTGACCGCACTTAAGCAGTAATGAGTCTGTAAAATTAAAAAGATAAAAGGTTGGTCAAACGCTGACTCTTATAATGGTCAATTATCAAAAAATGGAAAATCTATATGGAAAATTTAGGAAATATGACTCCAATGTAATTTGAAAATGGGAC